CCAAAAAGATTGCTCCCTAAGGTTTCATTCCGTTTGGACTCCATTTGATATTCCTTTCCTTCGAAACACTGAAATAGGCAAAAAAATAGCAATTCGGGTTGGGCCTCCGGTTAGTAGGTTAGTCCCAAAAATGATATAAAAGTGTAAAAAAGCCAATAAACATCCAAAACGGGTAATATAATAGCATGGAACAATCAAAAATTATAGATACGTTGGAGACGTATCAGTATGCTTCTGAAGATTCGGTCGCGCCTAGACGGCTGCCACTCATTACGACAACGACGATCATCTCTAGCGTCGTAGTCGCGTCTGTCTCTGCCGCCATGGCAGCGGCCAATCGATCTTGCATCACGGTTGGAAGGAACCGCACCGCGACGACGTTCAGAATGGTCACCATGGCTGCATCTGTTGTCTGCATGTGGGGCATTAGGACTGGGAGGAGGAGCAGACGTGACGGCCGCAGCACGCAACGAGGTGCAGCTCCGGGTGCGGTGGCCAATTTGCCGGCATCTGAAACAGGTGAATGGATTTCGGCAATCCACCTTGCAGTGCCCTTTGAGGAGGCAGCGATGACAGGTTCTGTCTCTGAACTTGACGAAATTCCTCTGCCCAGAGGAAAAAGGAGAAGCGGCACGGCGGCTTGAAAGCTGGTGTCTGGGGCAGTGCTTTCGCCACCAATAGGTTGGCCAGACGAGGTGCCAATCCTCAGTAGTGGAACTCCGGCTTGAATCCGTGGCGGGAGGTGCAGGGGTCGAGGAAGAGCTAGCTCTAGCAAGGAACTGCAGCAACAGGAGACGCAGGGCCTGAAGAAGCGTCATGTGCCGCACGCCAACCTGCCGACCTGGAGGCTGCAGGCACCGACTTGAGGCAAGGCCGGAGGGCACCCTGAGAACAGAGCGGAGGAGCGGCGTCCAGCAGGTCAGTGGCACCGGCGAAGTGCACCTTGCGGGGACAGCCCGTCACATCTGAGGTGGCCGTGCGGCACATCGGCAGGGAAGCACCGTCTCGGGAGCGTGGATCTGAGGTGATCCCCTCCAGCTGCGGGAAGAGGGCCGCAACCAGATCAGACCGCGAGTACCGCGGCATCAGGAACCCCGAGGGAACCACGGTGAGGTCGAGGACGAGCCTTGCGGTGTAGGAGGTGGTTGTACGGCGGGAATGGTGGCTGCGGGATCTGGATCCGACGCCAGCAAAGTCGAGCTGAGGATGAGCCTCTACCCCGTAGAGAGGAACCAGGGGGAGTTTGGGGCCAGCCGCACAGGCCGGAAGGGCGGCGGAGGGAGTACACATGGTGGGGGCGGCAGGAACGGCGGCGGCAACGATGAGGTTGCTAGGGTCGCGGGAGCAGCCGCCTCCATTTTGTGGGCCGATAGCCCTTTCTGGTCCGTATAAGCTCAGTGCTATAGAGCAGCAGAAGTAGTAGAATTGATAGATATATCATACACAATCCAACATTTGAGCCAAGGGGTAGTAGTCTTATGCAGATATCCATTTACAACATTGCTTCATAGTAATGATTACAAATAATTTACACTAAGGTTGGACAAGTACATACTGCACTAATCCAGAACACTTTGATAGAGGCACCGAAGCTAAGCACGACACTTAGGCAAAGCTTGCTGATAAACCAAGAGGGCCTCAGATTTTTCTTATGCCTGAAGCTTCAGTCATTCTCGTTGAAGAGGAAGTCTTCATCATCAAAGCGGCTTGCGCCGCAGTTGTCCTCGGTATCATCAGATGGGCACAAACTAGAGAACTCCTCAAACTCAGAGCAGTCGAACTCCGCATCATATGGATAGATGCCTATGGTCCGGATCACATCAGATGCCATCAAGGAAATTTGGGTGAGGTTCTCGGCTTCCTGAATAACACTATAGAAATGCCATGTTACATCACTCACAACAGGAGAAGAACCTAAGGTATCTCCTGAAGGCAGATAGTTTACTGCCGTTTTCTCAATACGAGTTCCAGAATTATATATGTCAACAACAAATGAACCCCATACCCTGCTTAGGTCTTTGAACTACCCATCCTTCTCTAGTTTTGCCTTTAGGCACCTGATTTTGTTGTCCTTATCATCAATATTGCGCGAGAACCGTGTCATCTCGACTTTCATCTTCTTTACCTGTGGGTAATCGAACTCCACCTCCACGGTGCCCGCAAGATCCGCGAGACATTTTGTTGCAGCACTTTGTATAGAGTCAATATTTACAGTTGGCTCGCCCCAAACTCTTGTTGGCTCCCATGATTGCCAAAAATACACAGTGGCACCCACAAGTCCACGTCCACAAATGTAGGTCTTGAACTTGGCCTCGGACAAGCCCATTTCACCAAGAGTGGCATTCAACATCGTCTTTGGGCTGACCTTAACAGTGTCATTTGCCTTAAGAATTAATAGATTGAAGGTAACAATATCAGGAATATTTGCCTTAATATTTTTCCAAATTCGGATATAACATAGTTAATAGATTGAAGGTAAACGTATTGTGTGTATGCCTTCTATCTAAAGGACATGCCAATGGAAACAACATATAAGCGGGGCAAGAAATACTGAAAGCATGAAAAGAGGTTGAATGCTTAAACCAACCTTGTAAAACATAATGTGTATTGTTATGCTCTAAGTTCTGAGAAAGCCTATGTTTTGACGAGAATCTAACTATGGGATAGGCGAAGTTTACTGCCTTCGAAAGCAACTGATTCATTCACAACTCAAGACATGCATTGTAGCCACTCTCAGGACAATATCACTCCAGAGCGGGAGTAGGGTATTACACCACGACACAATTTTTCGACCGGAAAGAGTAATATTTGTACTAAACTCTTATATTTATGTATAACTAATGATAGTTTATTTTATACTTTTTGTGAATATTGTGTATACAATCCTAATGTCTATCTTACAAGTAGACACAATGCTAATTTTAATATTATATTTTGTAAAGATAATTAATTCCCTTTTGAGGTGATAAAACTTAAAATATTAAGCACAGTGTCACATGTCTTCATGAATTAATTGATGACACTTGGGAAAATTGCGCGCGCGTGCGTGTGTGTGTGTGTGTGTGTGTGTGTTTGTGTGTGTTTTATAATCTTAGAAATCTCTGCATAAATCCGTAAAGCGTATGGTTTAACAACTTGGCAGTTTCTAGTATATGACTATGCACAACCAAAATGTTTTTACTTTTGGAAAAATATTCCTGATATTGCCGAAAAAAATGAATTAAAAAATCTTTCTGAATTTCTAAAAATGTTGGATTTTAAAAATATTTTTTTAATGTTCCTTAAATTTTAAAATTGTTTTGATTTTAGACATCACAATTTAAAAAATTCCCAAATTTGAAATTGCTCATGAAAGTTCAAAAATGTTCCAAAACGTTTTATAAAATGCTCATGTTTATTAAAATATTTTCAGATTATCAAAACGAATTTACATTAAAAAATATTTTTCTTATTTTCTCAAAATTAAATATATAAACTGATTGAGAAAACACTAGAAAGAAAACCGGCCGCTATGTTACACATCAAATCGATCGTCGTCAGGATGGAGGCACCCAAGAGCTCCACCGAGAAAGCGGGGGCGGCAGATCCGTCAGGAGGTGTTTTGTGCTCTTACACAACGTTGGTAATTAAGAAGGTGACGATTCCTTCCTTCCTTCCAACACGCAAATTACTTAGCTACTCGATCTGCCCATCCATCTATCTACACCTCCGGGAGCTAATCAGCTAACTACACGCACCTCTCGTTCGAATGGTGGTTTTTGCAAGGCATCCTGTTAGCGTTCTTCCTGTGGGCCAACGTATACACCTTCATAAACTTCAGGCAGCTGGCCTTCTTCCTCGTGCGCACAATAGTTTTGGTCTCGCGGTGCTGTCCGGTTCAAGATGAGGATGAAGATGACGAGGAGTATGCCATGGTATGGTGCGAAGGCCAAGAGTAATTAGCTAGCAGAGCACTTGCTTTCGACAAGGCACTCTTTGCAGGTGTGCGCGAGGTATCCTATGCATGCTGCTCAGCGGATTATAGCAATTTTCAACCAATTTTGCATTAATTAACTGGGTAATTCTTTTCTGCTTAATTAATGGGTGAGGCGAATCTTTTGTCTCTGTTTAAAAATGTGCCACTGCGGCTGCATGTTTGTGCTTATACATCAATTACAGTTCCACTATCGCGAGTGACCTTTTATTTAAGTAACCGCGTTTATCATTAATTACAAACAGGGAGAATACAAAGCATGCACGGGAAACCGGCCAGAAGGGTTGAGAGGAAACACGTGTATCGCGAGTGACATGTGCTAGTTTGTTGATTCCAATCCCAAATTGAGTTCATGCTGTCGGAGTTTCTGTATTCTGTTCAGACAGAATAGTGTTTGTTACCGATGTTAAGCTAGAGATACCACATGGCACAATAGGCCATCAGGGTTTTCAACATGTTCAGCTAGAGACGTCAGGGTTTTCAACATGTTCAGCTAGAGATCGGTACTATGCTGAGTAAGATATGTGAACCAACCACAAGATAAAAGTTTCCACAAATTTGATAGGGCTTGGAAACATAGTTTTAACACTAGTTTTTACGGTTAAGGAAACTAAAAAACATGGTTGATGGAGTGTGCTAGAATCATTTTTACCCCCACAGTTGGATGCATGTGTACAGATAATACACTAGAACATAATATACTTTTCATGAAACAGAAATTTTGACTGCTATCAGGACCTGCTGCTTGTTGGATTTCAATTAAGTTGTTGGCGCCTTACTGAAGATGGACATTTAACAGCAAATAACTTTTGTGCTGAAGCTCATATATTCTCCTCCAAAGCAAAACATCTGACAGACGAGTTGTACAGAAAAGTGCGACCTTCCCCTGCACATATCTTCAGATAACAATTCCATAAACAAGCAGCTAGTGCCTAACATTAGCTAACAAGGGACAACAGCATGTTCTCTGATACTTGAATGAGGGGACTAACAAAGAGCGCGATACATCGGATGAGATTTAGGACGATCACCTCTGCTTCCTAGATTTCTTCAGAGGATTTTTAGCAAGCGCTTCGCCCTCCTCATCGGATGAGCCCTCGATGGATTCATCAGGGACATCGTTCGGAGCGTTGTGCTTGGTTATGTAGCCCTTGAGGATCACCATGCTCTTCTCCCGCATCGCCGCCAGCTGCTCCGACAGGGTACCTGACTCAGAGCTGACTGTGAACGATTCCCCTCTGAGAACCAGGGTGGCCTTCGCTCTCGGTTCTAGACTTGCCGCAGCATTCATCTGGTCCATCATCCGCAGCTGAACCTGACAAGAAAATTCAGAGCAGAAATGACGAAGCCGTTGGGAAATCTAAAAATTCATTTGTACCGCGCATTCAACAATATGAATTGTTGCAGAACTCTTCAGCGGTGCAAAGCAAAATGGTAATGCTATATGCTAGCGGCAGTTCTGCAAACTAACCAGCCCTGTTGGTAAGGCAACCTAAGATAGATTCAGACTGAAACAGATAACTGGAGCGAAATACTGATATCAAATTGAGGCAGTTCTGAAGCTAACCGGCTCTGCATGAGCAGAAGATCGCCGCACCTTGCGGTGAATCAATCTAAGACGAATTCAGGCTGAAACATACCACCGGAGTGGACTATGATTGTAATCCAGGTGTTGATACTGTAACAACTGCGGCCGGCTCCTGACACACTGCACCCAAATCCTTCGCCCATAGCTCGGAAACGCTTGCGTACAGAAGCGGGCACAAAATAGGGAGAAAAAATAATCCAAAATCGTAGGGCGCGGCTCATGGCTACTGGATTTTGCGGCTCTCCAGACCAATTTTTAACATGGATCCAACGGACACAGCCCCCATCAGACAGACCCTACCTACGGGTGCAGCGATGCCGCAAGCAACGGATACAGGGGGGAGTAGAAAGTAGGAGAGGTTGGGTGAGACCTTATCCGCGGGGGACGGCGAGGCGGCCGGAGAGAGAGGGTGTACGGCGGCGCGCGCTTCGACGGCCGGCGGCTGTCTTTGTCGTGCGTTGTTAGGTTAGCACCGCTGTAGAGGTAAGGAAGGGGTGAGGTAGGAGAAGCAGTCAGCCTGGGCCGCGCCGGCGTGGGCTGGAAGCCTGGAAAGCAAAGTGGGCTTGATACAATCTCCATCCGTGTGGACTCACTTTCGACCCACACACACAAAAAAAAAAGGTTAGTAAGATCTAAAAAAAACTAAAAAAGGGCAAAACGTTTTTTTAATGAAAACTTTTATTGATTATCTGCCGTGTATCCAGTAGCTCCAACCATAAATCAGTTCTTCTTATGACATCTGCGTATGGTATGCACACATCCATCATGAACAACCACGCCAATGGAGGCAAACTCTGTAAAATAAATACTCTGTAGTTGCCATAGATACCAGGGGAAAAAACACTCGTAACACCGCTATAGGCTTAAGATGCCGCAGTGCAAGACTAGAATGCTCTAGGTACGTCCATGGCGTCATCACCTCGTGGTCGTCATGTTGCTGAACAAAAGACAAATATGGGGCAGTCCATTTCAAAAAAAACAAATATGGAGCAGAGTGTGTGCCTAAATATGGAATATGAATTATGCATCTGAAAATATTCATTTTATCAAAAAAACATCATAATCGCAAAACATAATGCCCAACATAGAGCGGATGCTTTGGCTATAACTAAGTACTACAACATATTTGATAAACCTCTCACTCCGTTACCAAACATACTCACAATGCGGTGATGGAGGGATAACTTAGATGCCATTTAAACTACGGAAATACTAATTGGCGACCATCAGTCGGGGGATTTCACAACTTCAAAGGAGAACCGACATCATGTAGGATCGCTGGAGTGGTTCGTTGCGCAGACGCTTCTGGCGAACACGCGTGTTTTTCTTC